TGTGGGTCCAACTCAGCCAGGGAGGCTTGCTCTCCTTGAGATGGGCAAGCTGCTTAGTTACAAATGGAGGCTACTTCAGTCTCCCCTTCCACTCTGACTGCCAAATTAGTCTGTTTCCAGGAAAAGAACAAAAGAACATCTAGTTCAACCAAACTGTCTTTTGGAAAGACTTTGCAAAGTCTTTGGTTTCATTTCATTTACATTTCAGTCCCCTAAAGAGAACGTTTACATTTGCAAAGACTCTTGGAGTCATAGTTGTTCATGAGGAACTGTTAGAAGGATGTTTGCTTCCCTTTTATAGAGTGCTAACCTGTATGCCCATAAGCCTGAATTCTCATAGATGTCTCTTCCTAACTAAGGAAACCCTGGAGTTCAGTAAGATGATGTGATATGCTCGAGGCAGTATCCACAGACCACATGGCTTAGACGTGACCCGTGGCAGGAATGGAGCCATAACTGATATGGTACTACCTTAGCATTTCTACTGTGAGACTTTCCCCCATCTCAGAAATAAGAGCAAACTTTTTCTGACTGCTTTTCGAGCAGGGAGTCACTGATGTGACTGATTTTTGGCCCAGAAAAACATATTAGATATCTCTCTATGGTATAAGCTTGTTCTTCCTTCAATAGGGAGACACGAGTTTGTACCTGGCTGAGAATGTCTACAGGGCTTTAAAAGTTAAATAGCATCCCAAATATAAATGGCCTTCAAAAGTAAATAAAATGTGCACATGCTTTGTATATTTTAAGTTGTAATGATATAAAGTTCACTGCCTCCATTTCCTTTCTTCTAATCACCCCTCCCTATGGAAATTTTACTCTTGGAGGTCACACCTGACATTTTCTTGTCAGCTATAGTAGCTTTCACTTACTGCTTATTTGACCTTTCTGCTACAATTGACACTGTGGACTCTCCACAACCAACACCGCCTACCACCCCTCAGAAATACCCACTACTTGATCTCCTTGACATTTTTTGTCTTCCCTGTAAACTCGGCCACTAACCTTGTCTACTTTTGACCACTTCCTGACTAGAGGATCACACAGGCTTCCAGCTGGCTTTCCAGATCTGAATCCCTCCCTCCTCTAATCCAGAATGCTAGCGTGACTCACCTTCCTCCGGTCCACACTTCAATCTGATCTTCAAATCCCTTTTTATCTACAGGGCCTTCTTTACCTCTCCTGTTTCACATCCTTTGCTTTCCTCCTGGCTCTGGACACTCCAGAAATGATCACCTTTTCTGTCTCTAACACCCTAAGCTTGACCCTTCCATGGGGTTTTGTACTAGTTTACTCTTTGCCCGGATGGCTCTTCACCAGAGCATCATATGAATGGCTATTCCTCTCATTCAAGTCATTGTTTCACTGCTCCTCAGAAAGATCTAACCCAGTGGTTGGCAAACCACGGCTCTTTGGCCCCGTGAGTGTGGGCGAGTCTACTTTGAAGAAGTGTCATTAGAAGAAGTTTAAGTTTAAAAAATTTGGCTCTCAAAAGAAATTTCAATTGTTGTACTGTTGATATTTGGCTTTGTTGACTAATGAGTTTGCTGACCACTAGTCTAACCTACTCTCCAGGTAATCATCTTGACAGCCTCACATTTTCTTTTCTTTGCAGCAGTTACTACTACTCGATAGTTGTGTAGTTATTTGTTCCTCTTGGTCTCTCCTAAGTAGGGTGTGTGTGCCATGAGGGCAGGAACTTCTTTCCGTATTAGCATGCTCTACTGTCTGTGGAATGTATCCTCTTTGGTGTTAGGTGGGTGGATCTGAGTTCTCCAACCAGATTATGGACCTCTTGAAGGCAGAGGCCCTTTTTTTTAAATTTTTTTTTTTTTATACTTTTGCAGCCATTCAGGCCTAGCAGAGTGCTAAGCATCATGTGGAATGTATTTAACAAACACTTCTTGGTTTATTTCTAACTGTAACCTTATATACTGCACGACTGAACGCTTTTACATCAGCAGGGCTGTAACGGAAATAAAAATAGGTCGACCATAAAACACCAGCACAAGAGCCCATGACAGGGTGAGAGCTTTCTTTCTTACCTTCTAATTCAACTTGAGTGGCAAACTGAAGTTTTCTGGAATGAGGATATGATGAATAGAAGAAACCTTGGGAACATTTCTTGTTTCCTTCTCTGGTAATTGATAGGCTATATATATATATATATATATATATATATATATATATTTTAGTGCTGATCATCCTCCAAGCATAAGATACTCAGGTCTATGGATACTGTTATTGAGTCTTGCTATCATTCTCAAGTCATCTAGGACTTCCTACTCTTCTTTGATCCCTATATACACTTACTGAAATCATCTTTTTCCTGAGTGGTATTCACATCTTAACATTTCTTATTAATTCTGACTTATTACTTCAGAATCAAACAAGGTTATGGACTCCTGCCTTGCCTTCATCTCTATTCCCCTATCAAATCCAAACTAAATAATCTCCTATTAAGTTTAAATTTCTCAGGCTAAAATTCAAGCCCTGTATCAACGGTTCTACCCTATCATTTCAGCTTGATTTTCTACTGGTTCTAAAAGAAAGCTCTTGTTTTAATTCATGTGATCCCTTCTTTCCCATTTGTAGCTTACCCATTTTCTTCTCAGTGTCTTTGTCAAGCAATTTCCTTTACCTTTCCCCTATCAAGCAATCTGGATTCTACACTTCCTTTTTTGTCCATTTAAGAAGTCTTCTCTTAATTTACATGGATAAACATCTAGTTTATGATTTGGATTTTACCAATGAATCCTTGGTTATTCATGTTTCTTCTTTAAAAAAATATATTTTATTTATTTTTTATAGAGGGAGAGAGAGGGATAGTTAGAAACATCAATGAGAGAGAATCATTGATTAGCTGCCTCTTGCAACGCCCCCCCCCCCCCCCCCCCCACTGGGGATGTGTCCCAAACCAAGGTACATGCCCTTGACTGGAATCGAACCCGAGACCTTTCAGTCCGCAGGCCAACGTTCTATCCACTGAGCCAAACCAGTTTTGGCTATTTATTACATTGTTTCATATTTTCCTTTCTAGTAATATTCTTGACAACAAAAAGCTTCAATATTTTTACATTCATGCTCAACCCTTGGCACCTCCTAGGATAAATGTGCTGGGTTGGGAGATGGCTCCAGAGGCCTGGCCAAAATGGCCTGGATTAGGAAGATGAACCCTGACCGGGTGAAATGGAGCTTATGCAACCGGAATCCCTGAAACCAGTGGGACAGAATGGCCTCTGACAGCAATACCTTCCTAGTTAATGCCAAGTTCAATTTCATACTTCACTCAGACCATGTAGGCAAAACGGCAAAGTCAAAGACTTCTGATGTTGAGTAACTGTAAGTAGTAAGTATAAGCCAGATGCTGGCAGGCATGGGAGATGAGATCTGAGCTTCAATCTTGGCTTTGTTTCCAGTTAGTCTGGGTAATATCGAGCAAGCAATTTACCCTCTCTGGGAGTTAGTTCTTCATCTGTAAAATGAAAAGATTAGACTCCAGATGATAATAAGGAATGGATAATTCAATTATAAAATCACATGATTCTGATTCCAAATCAATGAAATGGGTACCATAGCCTTTGGAGTCTTTCCTATGCTTATTTTGTGGGAGAAGGTTTACTACTTTTGTGTGTAGTTAGAAACTCTGCTTTCAGCTTTTGGCGTTTACACTTTTCTTTTTCCCAATTTGTGTTAAAGTGGGTGGGCAGATGGTTTATTAAGCTTTCAAATGCTTGTAATGTTGTTGTTCAATTCACAATGGTTTTAAACTTTGAAGAGCCACATAGAGTCTGGATTTTGCTTAGAATGGAAGGTAGTTTTAACACTTCAATTTAAGAATAATAATGCCTACTCACATAATTTAAAGCAACTTGTGAATGTAACTCCAAAGGCCTAATCAGTTTCCTTTATTTTGGTGTGTTAACTCATGTCTATAGCCTAACTCTTTCAAGTTGCTGTTTTTTAAAAAATGAAGTTACCAGACTTTGTTACATTTCCAATGTTTGCCTTCTCTAGACTCATTTAATCCACAACCGGATCCCAAATACAAAATCCTTTCATTCAAAATCGCAGAAAAGACAAATTCCTCACCTTATAGGTGAGAAAACAAGAGACCTAAAAGGTCCTGGCGCTCTTTCTACTGACTACGTATTTTCTAAAAATAAAAGCGCAAAAGTGAGGTTAGGTTGCAGGGGTGAAAAAAAAAAAATCCAAAATGTGTGAATTGTAAGACCCCATAGAAACTTCCATCCCTAAATTTAAGTGTCAAACAAATATAGCTGGAACGATGTATGTAGGTCAAAGATGGTCCCCACTACTATCGCTTTCTTTGTGATTTTTAATTACTTAGTGACTCCTCAGCTAAGTGAGTCCATGAACATGCGATTCTGGAACACTCAAACTGCATCCCAAGTGTGGGGAGTAGTCAGAACCAAAAGGACGCGCAAAATGCAGTGACCACCTACAGGGGTCCCAGGTGGGGGGCCCGAGGGAGGGCAATGAGGACGCGCTGGCGAAGCAGGCGCCGGGAGGTGCAAGCTCCGCGGCCCGCAGAGGTGGCGGGGAAGGAGCCCGGGACGCGCTGGGGCCCTGCGGATCCAGCAGGCCGGGCGGAGGAGCCGGGATGGGCAGAGAAGGGACCGGCAGGAAAACTGCTAGAGGAAGCCCAGGCTGACCTAGTGAGCAGCGGAGACCTCCCGGGAGGAAAGAGAAGGCGCCAAGGCCAGCCTACAGGTCTAGGGGGCTGGGGAAGGTGCAGAGGAGCTGGAGGGGCAGGCGGAGGTGCTGACGGAAAAGGGAAAGGGCGTGCGGGCGGAGGAAGCGCGGGGCGGCCCCCGCAGCGCGCAGGTGCGGAGCGGAACAGCGGCCCCGAACTGGGGCAGCGGGCTCCGGCGGGCGGAGCGGGGACTCCTCACCCGCAGCGTCCGGCCGCGCGGGGGCGGGGCCTCGGGGACGTGGGCGTGTCCGGGGGCGGGGCCTGCGCCTGACGCACCCGCGGCCGCTGCGGCCGTGGCCCGGGAGGGGCGGCGGCGGCCGCGCGGGTGGGGAGCGGCGTCAGCGCGTCGCCGGCCGGGCCGCGCCGGTGGCCGGGAGGGAGACGCGGAGAGGAGGAGGCGGAGGAGTCGGAGGAGGAGGAGGTGGTGAGTAGGCTCCGGGCTGGGGAGCTGCACGGCTCGGGGAGGTGGGGGGGGGGGGGAAAGGCGGGGAGCGCGGCCCCTCCCCTCTCGGACGCCCGCCCGCCGGCCTCGCGGGGCCGCGCGGCGCAGAGCTCCCAGGGGGCAGCGGCGGCGGCGGCGGCGGGGGAGCCGGTGTGTGTGGGGAGGGGGGGGGCGCGGGGGGCGGAGCCGAGGGCCGCGCGGGCCGCGTGCTTCCCGGGCGCACGCGCTGCGCTCCCCGCGCCGCGGCGGGTTCCGTGTCCCCCAGGGGCTCCCCGCGGCCCTCCGCGCGCTGGCCGCTTTCTGATTTCATTTCCTCGGGTTCTGCGCGCCCGGCCTGCGGGCTCCCTGCGGCCCGGGGGCGCCGCCGCGAAGGGCGGGTGGGGCGCCGTCCTCCTCGCGCGGGGACAGGGGAGGCCGAGCTCCCGATCGGCCGGGGTGGACGGAGGGGCCTCCGTGCCGGCCGAGACCCTGCGGGCCGGGGGCCCCTGGCGACGCGCGCCCCATGGATAGTCCCTCCCCGAAGGGACCCTGTGCGCGGGTCCCGGGATCGCCCTGACTTTGCCGACCTCGCCAGCTGCCCGCCCCGGTGTCTGCAGAGCTCACTCTGCGCCCCCAGGTCCCATCCCAGGAGGAGACGCCGGCCGGTGCTTATTTTGATCAGGACCCTGACTGTTGGGGTGGAAATGGTCCCTGAATTTAAGTCCTGCAAATCCAGACATGTACCCAGTTTAGTCATTTAACTTTTAGTTCCGAGGGCTTTCTCCCCACCCCCCAAAAAATACTTCTAGAGTCTTCTGAGAACTGGACTGCATTAGATTGCATTTTTGAGATAATTTTTAAGTTGGCTCCTTGAGGCAGTGTGGGTGGAGGTTCAAAGAGGAGGAGGCTTGACACTTTTTCCCTCCACCTGAACCCGTTTGAAATGGAAAACGTGAGTTGCCATCGGGCTGGAAACGGGTTTTCCACCAGAGGTGGGTTTCGGCACGCAGCCCCCGGGGCCGCCGTGGCCCTGGGGTGCTCCCCCTCCAGCCTGCTGCAAAGCTCCCGTGCGCTCAGGGGAGGGGCCGCTGGGAAGCAGGCTGGTATAACTCCATGGAGCCGCTTTATGGGGTTCTATTAACCTGCTTGACCCTAAGCTAAAGCATGGCAGGAGTTTTCGAGTAGGAGCCCATATACCACAGAGCAGTATTGAATTTTAATTAGTGCATTTACAGGTCTAAAGTGGAATAGATTCTCCTCTGCTCCCACTTCCTGTTGCTTTATTCCCCCCCCCCCGCCCCCCCCAGGATTTTATGTTTAATGAAACACTTTTAGTATCGAGGGTTGGAAGAGGACTTTTTGATTCATGAAAACTTCCTTTGACACACTTGAAAACTGAGTAGGTAAACTCGGAGGTATGATACTGAGATAAGGTAGGCAACGGAATTTTTAAGAGGGCTTCTTGACACTGTTTTGAAACTTGCATTGACATTTTAGTCTTCAGGACCACAGAAGTACAGAGTTGTTTTTTTTTTTTTCCTATGGGTAAGGGACTGGGGCAGTTTAATCCAACCCCATTGTTTTACAGAGAGAAATTAATCAGAGAAAGTTACTTGAGATTTAAAAGGAGCTGAAGACTCCATTAACTAGATACTTACGTAGATAATTCAGACATCCCCCATGGATATTCCTGTATGAAAATTTGTTTTGATTATGGTATCTTATAAACAGTCAAGTGATAACTAAATTTTTATTTTTTCCTCCCCGGTTTTGAGTAATTGCCTTAGTTCGTGATTTGTACCCATTAGAAGTAAGTGATACAAATTATTTATAGTTAAGAAGTGTTTACTTCCTATCAGTTGAAATAGTACTTTCCAGTTAGTTTGGATTTAGTAATTATGTATTTTTAATCTCAAGAATGTTTATTTACATTACTGATTCTGATAAGTCCAGGCATGGGAGATTGGCATTTCAAGAGTCTCAATGTTGGGTGTCTATAACCTTGATATTAGTTCGGAATAAAGATCCTGTACGCATGTAGTGATCAAATTCCAGCATCCCCAGCACCATCACTTAGTGGTCCTCAAATGCAGAAGTCCTGATGCCCTTGCTGAGCTGGGGTGAACTCTTTGCATCTCTCAGGCCACAGTGCTTAGCCCAGGCATTTAGTAAATACTTCTTGGCTTGTGTGCACTTTTCTTGGTGGCCTCATGAAAGATGGACCATGTCTTATCTGTGTTTGCCTTGTGTCAGGTGTAGTGGGCATTCTGTAAATGCTGTGGTCTTGAGTTTAACCAAACTTAAGACCATAGCCAAGTGTCTTGGAATTCATAATCATTATATTGTAAACCTGAAATATTTAAATCCAGTATTGAAATATAGCATGAATCACATATATTAGAAAAATTGGGGGTGAGGAATTTAACATTGAGAATTTTGATCTTTAACATGTCACTGTGACATTGGGAAAGGGCACCTTTATTTAAATTTTTTTGGTAGAACACCTTAAGCAAATATTACTTTTCCACTGGAATGAAGTTTGACAGCCATGAATTGAATGACCCTAATAGTTACTGAAGGGCCATTTTATTTTTTTTAAAATATATTTTTATTGATTTTTTACAGAGAGGAAGGGAGAGAGATAGAGAGCTAGAAACGCCGATGAGAGAAACATCGACCAGCTGCCTCTTGCACACCCCCTACCGGGGATGTGCCTGCAACCAATGTACATGCCCTTGACCGGAATCGAACCTGGGACCTTTCAGTCCACAGACCGACGCTCTACCACTGAGCCAAACCGGCTTCGGCTGAAGGGCCATTTTAAAGTATTGGTTTCACTTTATAAGTATATGTTTTTCAGCATATAGACCTTTGTAAGAAACATGATTTTGGGGCCCTGACCCTATAGCTCACTTAACCAAGCATGGTCCCTGATACACCAAGGTTGTAGAATTGTGAGAATAAGCAAGTCATCTTCTCTGTCAAAGAACAGTTTAGACAGCTGCCATTTTGGACTGTGTGACTTGGCAGGCGCCATGTTGGCCGCATGGCTTTGCAGCTCCCCTGAGGGCTGCCATCTTGAAACAGCAAAGGCCAACCCCTCCCTTTTTAACTAGCCATCACCAAAGACTGTGCACCTGAGCTTCAATCAAGAGCAAAGGACAGGTCACCTGCGTCCGGGATTATAAACTGGAGCAGACCATCTGCTTGGTGTGCATGCTCTTCCAGACCAAATGTGCGCACCCTTCTATGTAGAAGTAAAAATGTTTACCTTGCTGCCTGGCTCCTAAGTATGTTTTGTGTTCTACCAGGACCCCTGACTTGGGGGGGGCTCACCTTATTTATAACAGATTCTATCCCAGTCAGGGCACATAGAAGAATCAACCAATTAATGCATAAATAAATGAAACAACAAATAGATATTTCTCTTCTGTTTCCCTTATTCTCTCTCTCTCTCAAAAAAAAAAAAAAAAAAAAAAAGGAAAAGAATAAAAAGAAAGAATGAAAAGAAACATGACTTTGGGAGCCTGGCTACCTTGGTAAGCTGTCCAGAATTGATATTTTACAGTTTTTGGGGACTATACTAGATAGTTCATACTTCATGTTGGTAATACAGTTAACAACAAGAAAAAGAAAAAAGAAAAAACCATACAGTGAAACCACTGTATTTTCTTTTTTCTCTAAGTCCTATCACTTTTTTCATTAATAGATCAGAATAGCATGTTTTGTTTATTTAAAAAATTGAGGAAAATTGTCAAGCAGCCTTTTTCTTTAATAGATTAGCATGTTTTGTTTATTTAAAAAAATTAACTGAGCACAATTGTCAAGTATTTCTTTTGGAAAGTACCACCACTCCACCCTTTGAATAGCCTTGGCAAATAATGTTTGGGCAAATGCAGAGCCAGTTCCATAGAGTAATTCCTATTTGAATACGTAGTCATGTAAATAATAGCCTTGAAAGGAACAATATCTTTGGATTACATGCATTTTTTCTTTCTACTGACACTATTACTAAAAACAGTTATACAATAGAGTAGGATGATGTTTAATATATAGGGAGCAAATAATTATACATCTAACTTTGCTGGTTCTTGTATCAGTTCTAGTGTACCCAGCCTGCCTACTGCCAGTGTTGTCCCTTCTACCCAGTTCTTTAATAGATTTTTAATACTAAAATACACGAAGACTCCTATCCTCTTCAGGAGGTGGGATATGGAACTATCCTGGTTCTCTGAGCGTTTATTGTTCACAGAGATATGGTGTTTCACTTCACCCTTGGCATGTACTCAGTTTGTGAGATTCTCAGTTTTAAAAATACTGTGCTTTAGGAATTTTGAACTACATGGCATAAACATCTTAATGAAGTGTGTGTGTGGAGCATCTAGAAATATATCAGCATAGAATAAGGATATAAAATCAGGCATTTAGTAAGAAATAGGAAGAATATCTAGTCCTTTTCTCTGACACGTGAAGGTCATACTTCAGTTGTTTAGACAGATGACAACTTTGTTTATTTTTAAAGGTAACCAGAGAAGCAATTCTACAGCCTTTCTTTAGTAATTGTTAAATAGTTCATAGAAATAAGTTGCTTGTGTGGTTCCTTTTTGTATTCCAGATCCCCTGTGGACCTGGAACCTTTTTTAAGCCTGCTTAGAACTCTTTTAACAGCTTGGCCATTTCCCTCTGCTCCTGCCATCTCTATTCCCCTCAGGCAGCTGGGACCTGTTCTGGTCCAGGGCAAAACTTGCAGAGCCAAGATACCCTGTTACTGTCTTCTGGAGTAGAGCTCATTTGGATTGATCCCTTAGATACTGGAACAGGCCAGCTAGCTGAGAGCTGGTCTCTTTGGCTGTTATAATTTGAGCTCTTTTGAAGGTTTAACTTTTCATTTGCATCAGGCACTCTACACCCTGGATCCATGCACTCATTTCTTTGACCCTTTTCCTGACTACCTTGCTATTGTGTTTTCTTCTGCCTTCTTAGCTCAGCCACTTAATGGGTGA